ATGTATATACTTGTTCCCTACTCTCTCTTCTCCCAGTATATTTTGGACATCTTTGCCTTTACTACATATAGTGTATTCCTTCCTTTTTAAAGGAAGGCTTTAAAGGAATACTTTAACCATTCCATTAGTTTTATTGAGTTTTTGGTTCCAACCATTTTAATGATTAAAATAAAAAGAACATAGGAAAAGTGTGTAAGACTTCAGAGGTTGCTTTATTTTGTATAGAACATCAAGACTAGAAATTAGTTCTCCCTAAAGAGCTATTCTAGGGGCAGTTACAAATTTGTCTGTATATTTATTAGTTAAGGTCCAGTTACTTTTTTTTTTTTAAAGTCAAATAGTCCTAATATATTTGATTGAGTATAAGTAAAGGTGTTTTATGTATCAAGTGATTTATTTTTCTTCTTTTGATCGTTAAGCTGATCTGGTTTCATTTTCTTTTTTTCTTCAACAGAGCTCAGAAGCCACGATTAACTCGTACTGCTGTACCCTCTTTCTTGACTAAACGGGAGCAGTCTGATATAAAAAAAGTTCCTAAAGGTGTCCCCTTACAATTCGACATAAATAGTGTTGGAAAGCAGGTAAATTGTTTTCCTCTGTATTTCTGTGAGCCATGCATTTGACACTATTTTAATCAACAAAACATGTTTTTTGATGAATTATAGGATGCCCTGAATATCCTTAGCCCTAGTAAACTACTAATTTTTCTGCTTTATGTTATAGATTTTCCTTTTTTGAATATTTCAAAAGGTCAGTATATGATCTTTTGAGAGGAGCTTCTTTCACTTAGCCTAGTATTTTCAAGGTTCATCCATATTACATCAGTATTTGATTCCTTTTTTTGCTGAGTAATGTTCCATCATATGGCTATCTCACATTTACTCATACATTAGTTGTTGGACATTTGGCTAGTAGTCTTCCTCTGAACATTTTTGTACAAGTTACTGTGTGAAGGTATGTTTTCATTACTCCTTGGCAAATGCCAGCGAGTAGAAATGATAGGACATATGACTCTTTTTAATGTTTTGAGAAAAGGACAAACTGTTTTCCAAATAGTGACTGCACTGTTACATCATTACCAGTATGTATGAGGCTTTAAATTTCTCCACATGTACTCAACTTGTTATTACCTATCATTTGATTACAGCCATCCAAAGTTAACATGATATGGTATATATACACTGCCATGATTTTGACAATTTTTGTAATGCCTTTTGTGTGATCTTGCTAAATTCACTTACTACACTTAATAATTGTAGATTCTTGAGGCAATCTGTGTAATCATATTCTTTCCAAATTCCTTTATAATCTCTGAGTCTCTCCTATATTTATATAATAGCTATGACTTCCTGTACAGTGTTGAATAGAAATGGTGAGAGCATGGAGAAAGCATTAAATGTTTCACCTTTAACAATGATGTTAGCACTGGGTTTTTAGTAAATACTCTTTATTACAGGGAGTTATCTTCTATTCCTAATTTGCTGAAAATGTTTATCATGAATGGTATTGGATTTTTCGGTATCTATTGACATAATAATCTGTGGAATTGAAGATATGACGTATGGAAGAAAATTGAAGATAGAAAGTATGGAAGATGTGAAGTATGGACTAAAATTTGTCCAAAATTTTTTGTTTTTATTTTATTTTGTTGTTACAGAAATGGTGACCTTTCTGTTATTTTGGGTACACTTTCTGTTGCTAGTAAAATCCAGATTTTGATTTGAGCTTGTTCAAAATATTCATATGTCTAAATTTTTAATCAGACACAACTTAAAAAAGTGTCTGCAGAGCCTGAAAATGATTCAGCTCTTTGGGTGTCTAATTTTGTGTAGGCATTGTAATATTATAGGTGTTTTATGTAGTTTATGATGTAGGCTAGTTATAGTGGTTAATAAGTAGGGATTCTGGGGTCTTCGCTGGTGGTGTAGGGGTTAAAGTCTCAATGCTATTAAGCTATCCCAGCCACCTAGGCATGAGTTTGATCTCCAGCCAGGGAGCTAACCCACATGGCACAGCAGATCTTGACTGTTGCTCCTCACTCTGCCTCTGGTAAATCTTCTCACGTCTACACCTCTGGTTTACACTCCAGTTCTTGTATGCATAAATAAATAAAATAAATCCTTAAAAAAATAAATAGGGATTCTGAAGTAAACTTTTCCTGGTTTAAATTTGGATCTGCAAGTAAACATGTTAGCTGACTTAAACTTCACTACATTCACCTCTTTTATATGGTTTCTGTTTGAATTGTGTTCATATACATAAATATTCAGAAATGTTCAAGAAATGTTACTTACTATTACTATTAATTGTCAAAGCAAATAAAGCTTATTATTATTAATTCTTTTGTTTTGTTTTCTCTAGACAGGGATGACTTTGAATGAGCGATTTGGAATCCTGAAGGAACAAAGAGCCACTCTCACGTATAACAAAGGAGGAAGCCGCTTTGTCACCGTGGGATAGATCTTGTGTTAAAAGGGACTCTTGAGTGATGACTGTAGTAAAAGTTGAATTGCTTAAAAAGTTCATCACAGAAATTCAAGAAATATTTCATAATACAAGGCTAAATAACTCCTTATTTTTATTTTTAAAGTTTTTTTTTTAAAACATGTAAAAACGATGCCCTGAAAGTATACCAGGGAATATACCTATCTGTTCGCAAAGGTTTTGTGATTGGTCCAGATAGACCAATTCTCTATTTGATTTTAGTTCTTCTTGCCGCAGAAAAAAGACAGAAAGATAGAAATTGATTATTTTTATGATAGTGGCATTTAGGATCTCATTGCCTTTGCCCATTTTTTACACTTTGTCATGGTAAATTTTGGTCTTCAGAAATAGGAGTAGGTCTCTTTGTTGCTGTCACTTATTCTTTAATAGTGTTGATGTAACAAGTGCTGTTGACTTTTCCTTGTTAAAAGATATTAAAAATATATTAGAATTCCAGTTTTGGGTTTTAAGATTTATGGAAATATCTGGAACTTGGTTCATTTTGTTAGTTTTTGAAAATTGTAACTCTTTAGTGTTGAACTTCTAACAAAACTTTGGTTGTAGGCATTAGTCTCAGTTTAAATGTTGGTGGTTTGAAGGCTATAAATGTGTGTTATAATTATTTGATAGGGGCTTGAAGGAAAAGGACCTCCAAAGTACAAAAATTGAAAGTTGAGTTTAGTAAATAAAGAAAGCATGAAAGGATGCAGGTTGAGGATGGTAACTAAGGTGAAAAACTTTAAAAAACCCAGGTTATAGGATTTAGTATAGTGTTGAGTCTAGTGTCTACAAAGAATTCTTCAAATAAGTGAATTGAGTCCCTTAGATATTTCCATAGTAAAATTAAGTCATAAAGCCCTAGATTTTCTTATTTAAAAGTTAAATTTTGTAAGCTTTTGAGCTTACTAAATTAAAAGTATACAGCTCCAACAATAACAAGTGTATGTCACAAAGAAAAAGAATGCAAAATAGAATTATATTATAATCTTATTTTATACCTTTCATTCAGATTTCTTGTATAAAATTCAGGCATCTATGAAAAAAGGGTCCTCCCTCCCACCACTGGAGGGTTAGGAGGAATTAGTGGCTGTGCCAAGCTAGAGCTAACATTTCTCAGATATAAGTTATGGTATAATGCCAGAATGCAGCAAAATATTCCAGTGACAAGTTAAAAGTTTGATCATTTTGAAACCTGACTTTTTGGTTTTCTATAACACCTTTAAGTAGGTGTTAGTTTCCCCAGAGTATATTATTAGTGTTGATTTTCCCTGTTAAAAAAAGTAACACAAAATTTTCACCCCTGCCTGCCTTGCATTGTATATTAGACTTCATTGTTGTCATATTCTCCTTGGGTTTACTTGGTTTATGCCACAGAAGACTATCAATAATAGTTAAATGCTTATACCAAAGAATTAAATCTGATCCTTAACATCTGGTATTTTGCCAGTATGATATTGATAAGAGATTTTTGGAAGCCAGTCACAATTTGAAAATAATCTCTAGCCTTTCCATAGACCAAGGACTCAGGCAAAACATTTTTGCAAATATGAATGAATGCTTAGATTTGATCCATGAATAACTCATTTTTGACTGGCTTATAATTACTGGCATCTTACTTTAAAACAAAGGGAAAACAGCTGAGCTTGAGTTTGCTGTCTTTAAACAGTTTGTGAAAATACGGTATAAAGTGTGCTCATTTTGTTGTTATTTTAAATACAGTTGTTATTAATGCCTTTTTTTTTAAAAAAAAAAAAAGGCCTTAAAAATTGCCCCAAATATTGACATTAAGTGCATCAAAAAGCATTGTCTTTGTGTATTAAACTTTTGCTCTTCATGTTTCAGTAATTTCATTTTCTTTTTAAATACAACATTTTGCCCTTGTTAAATCTAAATTAAAATTCTTGAGTGCTGATATGGTGTATATAAACAAAAACAGATGCTTTGTTGGAGAAAAATTTTCTTTCTTGGAATGTGATTGTAGTCATCCTTTTTCAACTCTACATGTTTATTTGAACAGGATGCAACTTCAAATTTCCTTTGCATCAAGATGTATACAAAACATTGATGCAATGCATCACAAAATGAAAGTTTGTATTTAATGAGATGCTTTACACTGTAATTTTTGGTGTTTTTGGGAAAAGTTACATTTAGATCTATTCTAAAGCTGTTCATTTTTAAAAAATAAAATGTTACAGGCCTCACATGATTATTACTAGTTATACTGATTGAGTTGTGATTTTTAGAATGCTGTGTGTTACAAAGGATGCTCTAGTAATTATATTTATAATTTTTAGTTTGAAAAGTTAACTATAAACTAAATTGATAAGTCACGCTAGACCCACATTGATTTCCAATAGGAGTTAGCCAGGAAAACTTAATCAAACTTACTTAGAATACAGAATATTGGGTTAGATGAGTCTTTAGAGACCATCCAGTTCAATCCCCCTCTTTTACATCTTAAATGAAATGCAAATTTTTGAGATTTGTATTTTGGAGAGTTATTTTTGGAGAAAAGGGTAGAATGCTTTATGGCTTGTTAACTATCTAAGAAGTGGTAGTAGCCTTGCTTTAGCATTTACAGTATGGCAAGTAAATGTGTGCTAGCAGTGATTATTATGAATTGTCAGTTATTTTGGTATTTAAGCTATATTAAACCCACTAAAAGAGACCAGTGTTAATAATCAGACATGTATTTTTTCAAATAGGCATAAACCTCACAATTTCAATTGTAAGCAAATCAAAAAATTACTAAGTATCAACAAATTTTTGGGCTTCATTGCCTAATGATTATTTTTTGTTACATTAGGTATGTATATCATACTTAGATGTCAATTTTTATAATTCATACAATATACACAGTGTCAGGAGATTTTGTTGTGATTTTATTTCCTATAAGGAAATGAGGGTGAGTTTTCACTACAGAGAATAAGTACCACACTCTCTGAATAAAGGCAATATTGGAACCAAAAATTTCTTTACTTCTGAAGATCAGTATACTGTTGAACTTGAATCAGAACTATATGATAAGTTTCTTTTTGTGTGAACTAAAAAAAGCATGTGGTTCCCTTTAAAAAGAATTCTTTTTGCATAGATACATTTGGGGTTAGTTTCTTTTTTAAAATGATACAAATAAGCATTTACAAAAGTAATTTTGAATTGTGGACCATTAATTAGGGATTTAAAGATGTGCTTATGTAAGTTGTTGACTTCGAATGTCTCTTCCCCTGCCCCTGGCCATTAGTATAAAGTTATCTGAAATCTATTCGACAAAAGCTTGATAAAACAAGAAAATGTAGCTTACCAATGTTTAAAGATAATAAGAAATTACTTCTCTAGTGTGTGTTTAATTTCTACTTAATTACCTTCTAATGAGAAGAAAATCACATGTCTAAATTTTCTTATCTAAAGTTTTAAAAGGCAATAGTTTTTTTTTATTTGTTTTATTTTTCCCCATGATATTGTTAGTTTATTTTGAGGTAACATTGATTTACAACACTATATATGATTTAGGGGAATAGGATCACACTTCTTCAGATACATAATACCACAATGCACCCTCCACCAAAGTACCCAATAATCTACTGTAGACCATTGAGCAGCCTTCTCCCTTTGTTTCCCTCCACTTTTCCCCCAACCACCCCCACCCACAGTAGCTACAATTCTGCAGTCATATTTCTAGCTTGTAAAGGAGAAAAGGAAGAACCAGACTAACAATATATTCAACAAGTCAGTTTCTGTGCTTTACAGGTTAAGAGAATGGCATTGAGCAAGATAAATCTTAGTGCTTTAAATTTATAAAGGGTATTTTTTTTAAACATTATTTATGCATACAGAATTGGGATACAGACCAGAGGTACAAGAGGTGAGATGATTCACCAGAGACAGAATGGGGAGCAAAACAGATCTACTAAAATACACTGCTGAGAGGAGCAGTGGTAGGTCAGGAGAGACCTTTCTGAGCTGTTTGATCCCTGGTTGGGGATCAAACTCAATGCTGCAGTGGCTTCAGATAGCTTCACAGTGCTGTGCTTTAAAACTGCACCAACTATGAAGGGTCCAATAAAGGATATTTTTTAAAGAATATATTTTTTAAGATTATTCATACAGAACTGAGGTACTGGCCAGAGGTGCAGAGGCAGTGAACATTCACTAAAGACATCAAGGAACAGAACAGGTATTTTGATGAAGTGCACTGCTGAGGGGAGCAGTGGGCAAGACAGTTAAGGTCTGCTGTGCCATGTGGGTCATCTCCCTGGCCAGGGATTGAACTTGTGCTGAAGTGGCTGTGGCTAGCTTCATTTGCTGCGCTTTTTTTTTTTTTTTAAAGATTTATTTATTTGGCATACAGAACTGGGATACAGGCCAGAGGCTCAGGGGTGGCGAGAGGCTTCACCAGAGACAGAGTGGGGAGCAGAACAGGCAGATCGACAAAGTACACTGCAGAGGGGAGCAGCGGGCGGGTCAGGAGAGGTCTGCCACACCATGTGGTCACCTCCGGGGCAGGGGCAGGCAGGAATCGAACTCATGCGGAAGTGGCTTTAGCTTCTCAGTGCTGCGCTTTAACCCGCTGAGCCACCAGGGAGGGCCCTGCTGTGCTTTTTTAACCAGTTGTGCCAACAGGGAGGGCCCAAGAATATACATTTCTTGTGAGTAGAAATGGGGAGAGGACTTTCATTCCACATGATGTAATACATTTTAGAGTTGAAGAGAAATATTAAGATTTAAGTAAAACTTTACCCCTGGTTTTGAATGAGTTAGCTTTTGGTCTGTAAAATAAACAGGAAGAAGCATGGAAGTTCTCCATTATCAATTTCTAACATTCAGTAACCCCCACTGCCTACTTTTTTTCAGCTATTCAGGACCATAGAGAAGTAGTAGAATAGGTTATTGATCAAACCATTTTGCAGTTGCTTTTCAGTTCTTTTTTTAATCATGACTTGAACTCACTACACAGTAACTCCTATTGTATCTCATTCTCATAAGTTGTTCTTGTCACTTGTTTTGGGGAGAAAATTGGATGGAAAATTGGATGAAAATTCCCTAATGGTCTGCATTTGTAGATGACACCTCAAATCTTTAGAAGTTAACTCATCAGTCTGTCTTCCAGCGTTTTGTCACCTGGGACTTGTTTTGCCCCATAACTACAGGACTTACTTTTGAACTTTAAATGTCCACAGACGTGTAACCTACTCAAAAATTGTAACTTCTTTCCTTCCAGCCTTCTCTGTATTAGTACAAAACCTCCACACTGTTAGTACAGAATATATTTTATCTCTGCTTCTTTCTACTCACTCTTACTATTTTTAAATTTGTTATAATAAGCCCTGACATTTGGGAGATAATTATAGTACAAAATTAAACTTTCGGGGGCTCTCCTGGGTGGCACAGTGGGTTAAAGCATATACTATGAAGTTAGACACAGCTGCTTCAGCACAAGTTCTATCCCCTGCCAGGGAGGTAACCCACATAGCAGAGCAGACCTCTATGTCACCCATGCTCCCTTAAACAGTGTATTTCATCAATCCACTCTGTCGCTGGTGAATCCTTTTGCTGCCTCCACCTCTGGCCTGCATGAAAACAAATCCTTTAAAAAATTAAACATCTGAGAAATCCTAAAATCTAGTTGAATAGACAAAATAGCATCTTATAAACTTGGTTAGAAGTTCAGAAGCTAGAATTAACTTGATAAGTTGCAATTACAATGGTTTGTAGGTAGGAAGAATGAAACCAAATTAGGGAGAACCTGTTTAGAAGAATTTAGCATAAATGTGGAAGGTAACTGGTAATCAAATATAGATGAGAGAGCCTCCCTTGTGTGCAAGTGGTTATGTCTCAGCACTGAAGCTATCATCAGCCACTATAGCACAAATGTGATCCCCAAACGAGGTAACCCACATGATGCAACAAATTTCTCCTGCTCCTCTCAGCAGTGTATTTTAGTAGCCTGTTCTGCTTCTCACTGTCTCTAGTGAATCCTTTCACCACCACCCCCCACTTCTTGTTTGCTAAGTAAATCTTGTTTGCTAAGTAAATCTTGAAAATATAGATGACATGAGTGACATATTTTAGAAAGATACTGGCTACTTTCTATAATGTACTACTATATAATTATACTCGATCATTGTAGTTGAAATCTCTAGAAGTTATAAAATGAGGTTCTGCTCTAAAATAAGTCCAAGAATAACAAATCAACTTTAAGAAGACCAGAATAACAAATTCATGTATCAGGCAAATGTTTGACAGGGATGACCAATTGAATGACCCATGTTTATAACTTTAATAATCATGACTTGTTACTGAAAAGTAGGACTTATAGTATTAAGAGTTCATAAAACAACTCTCAGCTGTAGTTACTACTTTGACATTAAGATTAAACTTAATTTTTCAATCTTGCATTTAAGTTTGGGGTTTGTTATTCAAGGTTTTATTAGAGTGGAGCTTTGATGATGGGTAGGATCTCTCCAACCTTACTTCGTTTTACTCTGGACTTTCTGGCCTATTGCCTTCATGTTTTCCATGAGAACTGTTAGAAACCATACCTGGGTGTGTTCATGCTTATCAATTCCTTCCAGTCTGAAATATGGCTCTCACCTTCCAGTTTATGTACTGCATAATCCTAAAGATCTTACTCTAAACCTCACTACAGATTGCTTTTCTCCGAATTCTATTAATCGATACCTCCTCACCTATTTTTTGTCTTATTCCCTAATGGCTATACTTGGATTCCATTAATCAGTTTATCTTCTAGGAAAGAGACTTTATATTTGATAGCTTCTTTCAGACAAATAGTAATTAATGGCTTGCAGGGAAAACATATGTCGTAGGAATGCACAGAAAACTTGTTGCAGTATTAAGTGAGGTCCAGTTTGTTTAGATGAAGTGATGTTTTCCATTTTTTCAGTAACTGGTTTTCTTTTTAGCACTTTGGTTTTGCCTTTAATTCACACATTTACATCATTTTTCTTTTACTCAAGTTTGCTTCCTGACATTAATGACATTCATCCTGCTTTGTTCAACAAAATCTTGCCTAAAGTGCCCTATTGTTTAAGATGTTTGCTTTATTTTGTTAAGGGTGATTTTATAAAAGGAGAGTCTAAAATATTTATGGAGTTTGGAACACTTATTTTTCCCTTAGTCAATAACTGATGAATCCACAACTCTTTATTTATGCATACAAGAATTGGGGTACAGGTCAGAGATGCAGGGCTGAAAGGACTCACCAGAGACAGAGTGGGGAGCAGAACAGGCAGACTGATGAAGTACACTACTGAGGGGAGCAACGGGCGAGACAGGAGAGGTCTGCAGTGCCGCGTGGGTCACCTCCCTGGCAGGAATCTAACTCGTGCTGAAGTGGCTGTGGCCATGTTCAAAGTGCTGCACTTTCAGCCAGTTGTGCCACTAGGGAGGGCCCTAATTCTTTTTTTTTTGGGGGGGGGGGCCCTAATTCTTAACTCTTAAGTTAGATTATATCTAGCTATATAGGATGACAGAAGTTGGGAGACGTTTTAGGTTGTATCCCATCGTGCCCTCCTCTAACTATTGAAGTTGTTAACAGAAAATGTTAAACCTTGCGGCTGCCTGAGGGTTGGGAGGGAAGGGAACAAATCAGAATTGAACTCTTAGTGGTAACATACACACGTTGGTTTTTAGTGATGCACACCTAAAACCTATATGCTGTTATAATGCAATGCTACTTTGATTTTTTTTTTTAATTCTAATTTAATGTTTAAATCTAATCTTCCAGTACTGAGGGCGAACGGCAGGGAAGTTTTGGTGGAGCGCGTATTGTCTGAAAGATATTGGGGGAGGCCTGCCGTAAGGAGCTGTTCTAGATTTTATTTCCGTTTTAATTTTCCTTGAAAACCTCAACATACGCGGAGGAAAAACTCCTTGGCTGTGCAGAAGGGCACGGTCGCCGGGCGGATCACCCGAACGCTCCGATTGTGTGTGCCCCTTTCCCCGCCCACCCATCAGTCTGAGTGCGCATGCGTCTTAAAGGCTGGCCGGAGAGTTGTCGGCAGGGAAATGGCGGCCGCGGGTCTGGTGGCTGTGGCCACGGCTCCTGAGTATTCTGGCCCAGTCGCGTCCGGGGGTCACCCCTCCGGTGTTAACTGCGGCCCAAGCTCCGGGGCAGTGCCTGGGCCTGGCCCGGGTTCGTGGAGCCGCTCCCTCGACCGAGCCTTGGAGGAAGCGGCTGTAACTGGGGTGCTGAGCTTGAGCGGCCGGAAACTGAGGGAGTTTCCCCGGGGAGCGGCCAACCACGATCTGACGGACACCACCCGGGCGGGTGAGCGGGACGGGGCTCATCCCTGCAGACCTGAGGCGGCTGGCGCGGTGAGGCCGCCCCGGCTGGGGGTGGAGGTCGGGGGCGTCGAGAGTGTTGGCAGCCACGGGTCTCAGACTCGGGGTCGGGACCCGGGTAGCGGGGAGAAGGACCGTCCCAGTGCGCGAGCCCCTCGGGCCTGCGGGCCAGACCGCGAACTGGGCGAGGCGGCGGACCGCAGCTTTTCTCTGGGAAGAGTGCCGTAGGGTTGACGGTTTTACTCTCTGAAAATTAACTTCTGCCCCGCCTGGGGTAGACCCTTCCTCCGCCCGGGTTTCTCCAGACCCTCTCGGATTTGGGATGCCAACTTGACTTGGCTGAAACTGGGATTGTAGCCTGTTCTTAATAGAGCATAGTGGTTTTGGTGGCTGCATTGTCAGAAAAAGCATCGGTCTCAGCACTGTCGTTTTTTCAAGAGTTGTTTTTCCTGTGAACCTGAACGTTGTAAATTGTCTGTCGCCACTTTGGTCTATTGACTTACCAAATGTAAACGGGAGCCCATCTTCAGGCTCCCGATAGGCTACTCTCTCCTTATGTCACCCACCCCTGAAATTGAAGAAAACTTCTTAACAAAAGACACAGTTTGCCTATTTTGCCTGTGTGTAATGCCTTTTATAAAACAGTTTACTTTGTACTTGTTTTTGAAAATGGGAAAGATAATGAGGAATTAGGTATTACTTGGTTTTCGTCGTTGTTGAGAACAATGTATGGTGGCAAAAGTGTTCATAGTATTTTCTATTGTGCTTAAAATACAGCTTCCTGAGAGAGTAGATTAACAACTGAGTCTATTCATATTTTACACAAATACAAAGGAGGGGAAATCCCTTAACTCGGGTTTGTATAGGATGAAGTAGACAAATATTTTATTCTCACAGTGTTTTTGCAGTCAAGGTTGTTTAGTACTTTGTCTTATACTTCTTTTGATTTATTTAAAAATCTTAAATTTGACAACTTCCCAGTTTATGCACTCACTAAAGATTAGAAAGTATTGTATATGATTCACTCTCATTAGAAAAATAAACAGAACTGTTATACTACTTTAAGAAACTATTCTTTCCAAAGAAACTTTTGCTCTAGTGTTGTAGTGGAAGAAATTAAATGCCTGCTTATTTCATCACTTTTTGGAAACAATTGAGTATAGTTTGTTTTTACTGAATATTAAAATTAAACTTTCTTGCCAAGGTTAATATGAGCAGCCACTTCCTTTTGCATGTGTTCCTACAGATACCTAAAACCATCACTGATACCCTCTTATTTCCTTATTCTGTTCTGGAGATGGCTATGAGGTGTATGACTATTAAGATGTATCACACAGTGCTTTCATATAAGTGTGAGTCATTTCGGTATTACTACATTAAGCCTGAAGCTAAGGAATAAGTTGATTACAAGAGTTTATCTAGTTTATTATCTTACCAACTTTTAAGTAGTTGTAGAACTGACAGGTTTGCCTTTAAGAAATAACTATGCTACTAACAAAACCCAAGGCCATTTGTGAATAATAATAAGTAATCTCCGAGAATTTCTTCATTGTTGTGCTCTGAATTTTTAATTTATCACCCACACTTTATTGTTTTAATAGTTTCTATGTAAATCAAATTATTGTTGGCAAATACTTTATCTGCTCAAAAAATATAAAGAAAAAGATTATAAGGCATTTTATACTCTACTAGCCTAGATTAATTTCTAACATTACAAATACCACTAAGTTAAAAAAAATCTTAGCTAGATCCTGCTATGCAAGTTCTAAATATTCTAAGCAGTTACTTTGACCTGGATAGGACCATTCTGGGATTTTGGCTGTTTGCTATTCATTGTGAGGTGTTTTGTTTTTTGTTGTCTTTTTTGTTTTTGTTTTTATTTTTTATGACTAGGTATTTTAAAATGCATTGCCTTCTTAGGAGCTCACAGCAACCAATGGGTTAGCCCCATTTTACATAGAAAGACTCAATTAGAGAAAGTTATATATCTAGCTCTAGAGGTAGCATTTCAGCCTACTTCAGCTGTTCTCTCCACTATACTACATAGCCTAGCTATGTAAAGATTACACATATGTATCACTGTTCCTGTTTTTACAGACAGTGAAAAACGTGATTTTCAGAGTTTAGATAATTTGTTCAAGATCTGGTAACTAAAGGAAAGGGAAGACAGTATTAGCCAGAATTGAGTTTTGTTTGTTATAACTCCAAAACTAATAGACCTCTTATACCAGATTTTAGATGAATTCAGACCCAACTCATCTTATGTCTTTAGACCCTATAGACAAATTTAAACCAAGTAAAATTGTTTGTATGCCATATGTCTCCAGGTTTCCTCAGTAAGTTCTTTCATAATATATAGAATGTGTCTGGTAGAGCTGCTGTCCTTCAGGAGTTTACATGCCAAGAAACAGCATTTATTACCCATATTGAATCAGAATTCATTAGAAACAATTTCTTGAGGTTTTTACCTTCCTGTTTGTTTAAACAGATTGATCTTTAGAAAAAGAGAAATATTTATTTGGGAATGGGCAACTTGATCAAATGGACAAAAAAAACCTCAGAAGAAACCACAGACGACTTCATGGGGGGAAAAGGGTGTAGCTTGAATTTGGGCAGACAGAAATAAGGAAAAAATACCACTTCAGGCAGTGTTGATAGTGTCAAAAAGTCTTGAGAGTATAGGAGACATGTTAATTTTGCCAGATCATCATGTATTCTTCTTCATCTGATGGCAGTACTCCAGTTTCCTAAGGAACCACCCTTCACAGTTAAAAGGGATACCACCTCTCGTCAAGGGTGTGCACATGACTCAGATCTAGCCAATCAGGGTAGTCTGTCCCTCAGGCCACAGTGATTGTTCCAGGTGGACACATTTTCCGGTCAACACACATGAGTGTTAATTCTGAATTTTTTATTGGTACTATTTAGAAAGAGGCATGCTTTGAGCCTAGGGTTACTGAGAGAATAGAATGTAAACCTAGAGCTTGCCAGTAAATAGAAAGCAGAGCCAAAAGATGAAAAGAGTGAGGCCAAGTTCTGATGATAATATTTGAATCTTTGGATCAATAGGGAGGCTTTAAGCTACTGCTATTATGGGTCTTCAAGTTATATAAGTCATTGTATGCCCTTTTCTGTATAGAAGTTTTGAATACAAAATATGAGTGCTGACTGTAACAGTGAGACTGTTACAGAGAGGTCTGTTTGATTGGAGTAAATGGTTGGATTAGTGATCATGAGAACTAACTTTTGTCTATAAGGAAGCTAAATTGATAGGTTTGGAAACAGTGAAGACTACTCAGTCTTCATTTAGCATTGACTAAGGGATTTTGGCAGGTGTACCTATATAAAGATGAACAAGATTCTGCTCTTAGGGAATTCAAAGGATCTAGTGGAGGAATAAATAATATGTGGAAAGATTATCTGAATTGCCTCCTAATAGTAGAAGGTCATAAATGGTGGGTGATACAAGTGAAACAAAAATAGTCTATACCTCGTACCATTAAAAAATCTAGTAATCTGTTTGGGTTACTGCAGTAATAACCAAAATCTATGAAGGAATGAAAAACAGAGATCATGTTGGAAAATGAAAATGAACAAATGCTGATTGATTTTATTTTTTAAAAATGGGGGGACAGTGCATCGAAATGACAGCTGTTAGACCTGGAGGGCTGAGAAAACGAAATGGTACTCATTATAGTAGGTAATATTTATTGTGCTGTTAGTATATTCTAGGTATTGTGCTGAGATATATATATTTACAAAACATGCACACGTATAGCCACATGAGTTGTAAATACTATTTTAACTCCCTTTTACACAAGAAAAAATACTCAAGATTAATTTGATCAAGATCACACAGCAATAAGTGACAGAATTGGGATTCAAATTTAGATACACCTGATCCTAAAACTTGTTTTTTAGTCACTAAACCATATTAACAAAGAAGTTTGGTGCACATAATTTCTTCGCCTTTCCTGATACCTTTAAGGGACCATAGAGTTAATCATGTGCTGCAAAGAGGAATGTAAATCTGGAGCTTTCAGAGTGAAGTTAAGGTTATAGCATAAATTAAGAGAATCATAATGAAGAGCTTATGAGATTCTTGAAGAGTATGGAGAGTAGAAAAGCTGTTCACTGACAGCCATAGGGTACACCAGTATTTAAGTAGGTGAGAAAAAATATCAAAGTTCATAGTCCTGTAACAAGGCCTATACTAGAATCCAGAGAATCCTGAAGCCAAAAGAGCTATAGTAACCATTATTTTATAGCAAGGAAGCAGTCTCAAAGAGGTTGTAAAGTGATTGTGCCATTTCACAGAAGGCAAGTATGGGTAGCAGTTAAAGCTCTATGAAATCTCTTCTAAGTAGAAGAGAAAAGAAAAGAAGAAATTAAGGATTTATCTTAGAGGAAAAGCTGAAGGGGAACCCTTTTTTAAATTTTATTTTAAGAAGACCAATTGGATGTAGCAGGGGAGCTAGTGTAATTGCAGCCATGAGAATTGAGACTTTCAAAAAGTAGATAACATATTGCCTAGATAAAGAAAAATGAAGATTACTAACAGGCTATTTACTTTATTAAGGACGCAATCTAACCTCCCCCCGCCCCGCCCCCCAAAAAAGTCTAGTGTTGTTAGTCTTGGAAATATGTACTGGAGTGCCAGGTCTTAAATGGCATTTGTTTTATTCTTATTTGTGTGTATTTTGTATCAACCACAGTATATATATTGTGAATTTTCTAGAGCAGTGCTGTCCAGTATGATAACTACAAGTAATAGGTGGTTATTTAAGTAAGATAACATTTTAAGTTCTGTTTCTTCAGTCATACTAGTCATATTTCAAGTGCTCAGTAGTCTTATTGGACTACTCTTTTTTCGGATAGCACAGATAATACAATTTTCCTATCACACAAAGATATTGGACGGTAATGGATGAATAGATTTGAATAGATTTGAAATTTTCTAATTTTTTTTGGTAAATCATACTTCTC